CGGTCCCCTTAGATGACATTGCACAGTAAGTCACCACCATCCGGTGTGAGCAGGCTGTGATGTTTGCACAACTCCATGACACAGCTCTTAGGATGTGTCCCCGTGGTTAAGTCATGAGTGACTGAAGGAAAGAATTCCACAGCGTACCTGCCATTCCCCAGTGACAGTGAGTACTGATGGCCTGGCGTGCTCAGGGTTGACTGCACATTTTTCAGGATGCATGAAACACAGACAACTTTTTCATTTATATTAAAAAACAAACAAGCAAACAAACAGTGGGGTAGTGGTGGTGCATACCTTAAATCCCAACACTCAGGAGGAGCAAGCTGGTGGGTCTCCTTGAGTTCAAAGCCAGCCTGGTCTGCAGAGTGAGTTCCAGGACAGCCAGGGCTACATAGAGAAACCTTGTCTCAAAAAAACAAAGCAAAACAAAACAACCAACCAAATAAACAAACCCCTCTCTTTTCCTTTACTTTCTATTTTATGTGTATGGGTGTTTTGCCTGCATACATGTCCGTGGACCACACATGTGCAGTCCCTACAGAGCAGGTCAGATCCCCTGGAACTGTAGATACAGATGCTGTGAGCTGTCGGGTGGGTGCTGGGAATTGAACCTGGGACGTCTTGAAAGGCAGCAAATGCTCGTAGCCTCTGAGCCATCTCTCTAGTGCTCCATTCCCTTTGATATGGGGTTTCTCTGAGTAGCCCTGACTGGCCTGGAACTCACTCTGTAAACCAAGCTGTGTCAAACTCAGAAATCTTCCTGCCCCTGCCTCCCAAGTGCTGGGGTTAAAGGCGTGTGCCACCATGCCCAGCTTCATACTTACATTGTAAAACTGTGTGTGTCTGTGATGGGAGCGCACATTTATGGAGAGGTCAGAGGGAAGCTTCAGGAATTGGTTCTCTCCTTCCATCATACATGGGTCCCCAGGAACTGAAGTCTCTCAGGCTCCTCACCCACTGGGCCATCCCTCCAGGCCACTTAAACTTAAACCCGTGCCACCCACAGCAGTATTCATGCATATTGATTACTCTGAACGAGATACATTCCTTTTTCTCCCAGGGCCGATTTCACGTGCGCGGCAATCTCCTTTTTTCTGGGCTGCTGGGAAAATGTCGAATCAAGGTTGAGAGATCTAAAAAGAGGATTTCTTTTACTAATCAAAACTTATCGCTGGAAATTTAAAAAAGAAAAAAGCCAACCTTCCTTTCCAATGCGTTCCCAGAGTCCTTTGCGACATGCTTGTTAGAACCCCTTTCACATGGCATCTGCCTTATAGATTTACCGTCTGGCTCTCTCAGAGGCCCATGGGTTCCTCAAGGGCAAGGCATTCTTGCATTCTTCCTGGGAGACATTGTGTGAGATGTTTATTTTTCCATGCTTCTCTAGTGTCTGTGAACACTCAGTGAGGAGACTTGTTCCTGAGTGGAGGTGCACACATAAACCAGTGGGTTGCCTGTGTGGGGATTTGCAGGATGGAGATTTTGTGGAGTGTGGGGCTGGAGTGACCGAGGAGTGGATCCTGCAGGTAATAGTGCCCCTGATTGCACTGGACCGAGATGTGGATGGCTCTTTCTCTCTAGGCCTGTGTATTGAGCCTGTGTCTACCACACTACACTCAGAGTGTGCCCTTTAGAATCCCTGGTGAGGGTTTGGGGTGTGGTTCAGTGGTAGAGCCCCTGCCTAGAATTCCCCCAGTGAGGGGCTGGGGGTGTGGCTCAGTGACAGAGTATTTGCCTAACACATCTGTGACTCCACACATCACAAAGACTAGCGAAAACATAGTGACTAGATGACCAGCATCCATTCCTCTACCTACATGTGTGTTGGGTGGGGGAACTGTGCCCATGGCCTGTTCTGTAGCTCCTATGATGATGGGGTGTGGTGTGATTCATGTCCTTGTCCCTTTCCTGGGACCCTCCTGGGTGTATGCAGCTGTGGGCGACTGCACCACACTTTGGTTATCTATGGCTCCATGCCCATGGGCCAAGAGTTGGGCCTCTGACCCTGAAGTCCTGGAAGGCTCCTGGGAAGTTAGCAGTTGGAGATTAGATTGCATGGATCACGGGACTGGGAGGAGGGACAAAGAGCTGGGTCTGACCTAGGGCGGGTGAGGGTTGCAGAATCAGGCTAGGAATAGTGGTGACATTCCATCTGACCCAGCAGACCCCAGGCCTTAGGCTCTGCACATTTACACATACCATTTCATACTTACCTGGTATTCTCTATTAGGTATTCACAGTGTAGTTATAAATAACAATGACGTGGGTGGTTTGTAGTGGTTTAGACTCATTATAAATGACTTTATCGATTAGTCTTATCATCTATGGTCCATCCCACTGAGGGCAAGAGGCAACAAAGCTCAGAAAGCTGAGTGCCCCTTCCCGAGTCACTCAGCAAACGCTTGGCAGAGTCCAACTTTAAGCTCTAGGCCGCAGAGATAGCTCAGAGGGTAAAGCGCTTGCTTGGGAGCCTGAGGGCAAGGTCGTGGCCGTGCGAGCCTATAAGCTCAGTACTGGGGAGGCAGGCACAGGAGAATAAAGACGCCGGGCCCCTGGTGTTCTCGTGGGACTCACCTACTTACTCCTTACACTCAAATTCTGCAGTAGGTCCCATCCCTGTGAGGTGCAGGGCCATGAAGGAGCTGGTGTTCAGACTCAGGTGGTCAGGATCCCTGGGCAATTCTGCTATGTGTCTATAAATTTTATTATTACCACGTGCATGATGGTCGGAGTGCAGAGGCCACAGGAGAATGTCATGGAGTCTGTTTTTCCACTCCTATGTAGGTTACAGGTACTGATCACAGGTTGTCAAGGGTGTGTGGTGAACAGCTTCACCCAATGAGCCATCTTGGCAACCTCCACACTTCCTGTTTTGTGTGTGTGTTTGTGGATATTTATAGAGTATATGTGTTCATGTGTTTTCACATGTGCATGAGGACATGTAAAGATCAGAGTTTAACATTCAACATCTGGTGCCTTCCTCAATCACTATTTATTTATTTATTTGAGGCAGGGTTTCTCTGTGTAGCCTTGGCTGTCCTGGAATTCACTCTGTAGACCAGGCTGGCCTCGAACTCACAGAGATCTGCCTGCCTCTGGCTCCCGAGTGCTGGGATTAAAGGCAGGTGCCACCAATGCCCGGCATACAGCTGTACTTTCACACCTGGCTTTTTTTTTTTTTTTTTTTTTTTTTTTTTAACATTGGTGCTGGGATCTGAACTCAGGTCCTTGTGTTTATGTACAAGTCCTTTAATGACAGAACCGCTTCCCCAGACCCCAGATTTTCCTTTCATACTTGGTGGTGCTACAGATAGATGATGAGCGCCACCCAGGCTAGGCTTGCCCTCCATCATTAACTCCCATGGCAGGGGCTAAAACGCACTGTCAATCACCCGCTGTCGCCCTTACCATCTGACTGTAGAGAAAAACCTGCCCGTTTCACAGGCGAGCAAACTGTGTGTGTCTGTAACACAGCACTGGAGAGGCAGAGGCAGGAGGAGGGCTGTAAGTTTAAGGCCAGCTATGTACTGAGATCCTACCTCAGAAAACTAAAAGAGGAGAAGCTCCTAGCGTGGCTGGAGCGTAGCTTGCCTGAGGCTGTGGGTTCCATACCCAGAGCCACACACAAATGTATCTCCAGCTCCTGAGGTACAGGGAGTGTGGGGGTTGGGGTGTGGGGGTGGGGACTGGGAGGGCGCTCACCTTCTTCTGGGGCCTGTGCTATTGTGGAGGCAGATGGGAAGGAGGCTCATTTCTCCTCATTTCCAGGTATTTCCAGAGGGTGGAAAACCACCCTCACCTCCGGTACATCGCCCTGCAGAAACTCGACAAGTATTACAAGAACGCATCTATCCGGTTCAATAATTCCAGCTCCAGGGTGGGAACCTTTTAATTAGCTAAATTATTCATTTAATTAGCATGCCCAGCCCCTTGGTTTCTTCAGACAGCCTTAATCTGCAGCGGAGGCTGGCCCAGAGTTCTAGCTCCTTCTCCCTCAGTTTCCTTCGTGCAGGGATTAGAGGTCTACACCATTTCCAGCTGTCTTTTCCTTTTTCTCCTTTGTGACTGTGTGCATGTGTGTGGCATGTGCACGTATGTGTGGGGTGTAGGCACGGGTGTACACGTGTACACAGAGGCCAGAGGACATGGATTATCCCTGCTCTAACACTAACTTATTCTGGACGGGGTGTCCCACTGAACCTGGAGTCAGGGTGCTGGTCACCAATCCCCAGCCATACTCCTGTCTCTGTCCGCTGCCATGCAGGGGTTACAGGGACACGGGGCCATTAGACTTTTTTCGTGGGTTCTGGGGACGCCCAAGTCAGGGTTCCCTGCTGAGCCGTCTCTCCAGCCCTCACATTTCCCATTAAAAAATATTTGATTTATTTGTGATTACATGTGTGCATATGTATGTATCTCTGTGGGAGTATGTGTATGTGATTGATTGCAAGGTACCCATGGGGGCCAGAAGTGATGAATCCCCTAGATCAGGGTCCTTTTCAAGGATCTGAACCTCTGAGTCATTACCTTCCTTCCTTCCTTCCTTCCTATCTATCTACCATCTAGCTAGCTAGCAATATCTACCTATTTGTGTATCTATGTGTTTATCTATGTATGTATGTATGTATGTATGTATGTATGTATCTATTCATCCATCCATCCATCTTCCACTCACTCAGGGTCTGGAATACACCCAGGGTATCCTCCAAGTTGCTTTGTAGCCAAGGATGACCCCCCAGCTCCTGATGCCCTGCTTCTCCCTCCCTAGTGCCTGCTAAACCCTCACAAGGATCAAACCCATGGCTTCCCGGGTACTAGGCAAGCAGGAGTCACATCTCCAGCCCCTTGACTATCTTTATAATGGTGTTTGACCAGTCAGACCCAAGGTACTAGGGTCTTACGCCCATCTTGTATTTATTATGGAGGGCTGTGGGGTTTTCCACACTGAGCATCGAGCTCTCCAGGCTAAGGCAGAGGGCGTGTCCTCTTTGCTCCCGAGTCTTTATCTTGCAGCTTCTGTCTTCCCATGGGTCAGATGCATAAATGCACCTCAGATCTCTCGTGGCCCATTGTCGCTATGTCTCCGCTGTGCCCATTGCTGCTGGCTCTGACCCTGGTGGCCGTCCCCGGTGCCCGAGGCAAGTGCCCGGTGCCTGCAGACCTGAAGAAAGCAGATGGGACGCGCACGTGCGCCAGGCTCTATGACAAGAGTGATCCCTACTATGACAATTGCTGCCAGGGACCCCAGCTGTCACTGGAGCCTGGCAGCGACCTGCCCTACCTGCCCTCGGACTGGGCCAACACCGCTTCGTCTCTGGTAGTGGCCCCGCGCTGCGAGCTCACCGTGTGGTCTCTCCCAGGCAAGAAAGGCAAGACTCGCAAGTTCTCTGCAGGCAGCTACCCGCGCCTGGAAGAATACCGCAGAGGCATCTTCGGAAACTGGGCCAACGCCATCTCTGGCGTCTACTGCAAGTGAGACCTTACTAAGAAAAGTAGATTTCCTCTAGAAGCTGTTTCTGGAGGCCTCATCTCCCAGTGCACCCCCAGACCTGGCCTCTTATCCTCCACCCTATGGCCCTCAGCCCCCCCCCCAGTCTCTGAGACACACTCTGGGCTCCCCAGACTAGGACGCTACACTGTATTCCACTTACGCCTCTATTCTAGAAGGCCCTCCCCTTCAGTAGTGCCGCTATTCTGCATCAGGTTTCCTGGCCTGAGAACGAGGAGCTCATTGGTTCCTCTGGGAGTCTAGATCCAAAGTCACTGCCCGCCCTCCCCCCCCCAGATCTCCCAAACCCAATCCTGGAGGGTCCCCAAGTCCAGCAATCATCCCTAAGTTCCACAGACCCCAGGTACCCTCTATCCCACTGTAGAACCATTCCAAACCAGCCCTACAGAACCCCTCAAAAAAAAAAAAAAAAAAAACCCAGTCCCCAAACCTTCCCAGGCCAAGACCCCAAGCTCCTGAGCTCAGAGCCTTGAAGTCCCTCCCCAGATCTTCCGATGTGGGGGTAGTCCTGTGCCCTGGCACCCCCTGTTGAGAATTCCTGTTTCTGTTACAGGTGCAACTGATGCCTGGAGGGCCTGTCATCTCTAATTCCACACAGTGCTGAGCCCAACCCTGCCTGACCTTGGGGATTGCTGTGGCCCCAAGAGCCAGGAGGCAAGATGTCCCTGCTGCCTACCATCGCAGCTGCCCTGTAATACAGCCCTTGAGAAGTTAGTTACCCGTGTGCCATCTGCTTGTGTCTGAGACCCACATTCACCCAGGACTGGATAGAATGGGGTTGGGCAGCAGAGTGATCAGATCCGGGTCAGTCCATACTGGAGACACAGCCTTAGACCCTGACTTGGGGTTAGGGGTGAACAAAGACACCTAGGGTGTCAATGGAGGGCGATGCTGGCCACGGTCTAAGTATTTAAACACTCACTGTCACTTCAGGCAAATATCCTTCAACTTCCTAGGGAGCTTACAGACCCTCACCATTCATACCTAGAACATCGGGTCATTCTAGATCCTTGTGCCAAGCTAGAGCCATGGCGTGTTGGGTGATATAGTTTTGATTTCTGTTGCTGTTGTTATTGTTTTTCCTGTATTTATTTAGATGTTGTAGATGGAACCCAAGGCTTTGCACATACTAGCAGGGGCTCTACCACTGAGCCACACCCCAGCCCCTCACTGGGAGATTCTAGGCAGGGGCTCTACCACTGAGCCACACCCCAGCCCCTCACTGGGGGATTCTAGGCAGGGGCTCTACCACTAAGCTACACCTTAGCCCCTCACTGGGGATTCTAGGCAGGGGCTCTACCACTAAGCTACACCTTAGCCCCTCACTGGGGGATTCTAGGCAGGGGCTCTACCACTGAGCCACACCCCAGCCCCTCACTGGGGGATTCTAGGCAAGGGCTCTACCACTAAGCTACACCTTAGCCCCTCACTGGGGGATTCTAGGCAGGGGCTCTACCATGAGCCACACCCAAAGCACCCTCTTTACTTTTCATTTGGGGACAGAGTCTCATTAAATTGCCCAGACTATCTTAATTTGAGACCCCTTCCCCTGAGCCTCCTTAGTAGCCTCCAGAGTCAAGCCTCTGGATTGCTAATTGCATTTAATGTTCCCTGTCTGACACATGGAAGACACTTTAGTTAAAATTTATGTTTATGTTCAAGTTGTGATCTCTGCTTCACCTTTGCCCCGAGCATAAGGGCTCTTTTTTTTTTTTTTTTTTTTTTTTTTTTTTTTTTTGGCTTTTGGCTTTTGGCTTTTGGCTTTTGGAGACAGGGTTTCTCTGTGGCTTTGGAGCCTGTCCTAGAACTCTCTCTGTAGACCAGGCTGGACTCAAACTCTCAGAGATCCTCCTGCCTCTGCCTCCTGAGTGCTGGGATTAAAGGTGTGTGCCACCAATGCCCAGCATGGCATAAGGGCTCTTAATGGCCATCTGGTTTGGGTGGCTCTAGGGATGGGGATATGTCCTGGGCGGAGACATATGGGTACAGCTCTGCAGAAATGAAATCCAGGGTGAGTTGGAGACAGGCCTGGGATTTGGGGAGAGTCTAAGAGTTAAGGGATGAGGGAGAATAGGTAAATGGGAATACTTCAGGGGCCATATATTGGGGATATAAAAATGCTATGGGGGGCCTCTGAGATGGATCAGCAGGTAAAAGGGCTTGCTGCCAATTCTGATGACCTGAGTTCAATCCCCAAGACCCACAAGATAGAAGGAACAAATAGAGGTCAGGCTAGACCCCATGGTGCAGACCTGTGACCTCAGCTACTGGAAAGGTTGAGGCAGAAGATTGAAAATTGAAACCAGCCTGGCCGCTTAGCTAGACCCTGTCTCAGAATTTCAATAAATAAAAAGAGCTCTGGGGACATATTTCAGTGGTAGAGAGCCTATCCAGAATACACAAAGGAAACTCAGGTCAATCCTGGGCGTTGCAAAAGAGTCAGAGCTCACTGTCAATGTAAAATATGAGGTCGCAGAATTACCCAGAAGTCGAGGATTTGTTGAGTGGGGAGACATGAACTGAGGGAGGCTCTCAGGAGCGAAGACCACGCAGATTCTCGGCCTCTCTGAGCAAATGTGTGTTCTTATGGCCACTCTAGGAAGTTTTATTGAACACCTACTATGAGACCAGCCATGGGGTTGCAAGGAGCGGCCCTCGCTCAGAGTCACATTGAGGGAGATGCGGGGGATGTCAAAGAAGACCCCAGGCCAAGCAAGATCTGAGAGACCTGGGCAGGGAGGAGCTGGGGGAAGAGGAAGCAAGGTGGAGGCAGGGAGCGAAGGAGAGGGCTGAGGGTCAGCGAGGAAAGGAAGGGTATGAAGGTGAGGGGAGAGGTCAGGGGTGAACAGGGGTCAGGGGGTAAGGAGGGGTCAGGGGTGAACAGGGGTCAGGGGGTAAGGAGGGGCCAGGGGTAAACAGGGGTCAGGGGTAAGGAGGGGTCAGAGGGTAAGGAGGGATCAGGGGTGAAGAGAGGTCAGGGGGTAAGGAGGGATCAGGGGCGAACAGGGGTCAGGGGTAAGGAGGGGTCAGAGGGTAAGGAGGGATCAGGGGTGAACAGGGGTCAGGGGGTAAGGAGGGATCAGGGGTAAACAGGGGTCAGAGGGTAAGGAGGGGTCAGGGGTGAACAGGGGTCAGGGGGTAAGGAGGGGTCAGGGGCGAACAGGGGTAGGGGGTGAACAGGGGTCAGGGGTAAGGAGGGATCAGGGGTGAACAGGGGTCAGGGGGTAAGGAGGGGTCAGGCGCGAACAGGGGTCAGACTGTGGCTAAGCACACACGTAGGGAGAAACAGGAAGCAGTCGCATCATGGGCATGCTAAGGGCTCAGGGGTGGCAGACGCCCTTCCAAGGACCATGACGGAGCTGGAGAGCCTGGCCGTGGTCACTCCCGGAGCTGCACCGACACGGAGGAGTCGGTCACCCTTGTCCTCCGCAGCCCTCCGGCCTCCATGCGGTTCTTGGCCTTGTGCTGGAAGTGGACGTAGCGCACTCCGGGGCCGTACTGGCGGAAGACGTGGGACACCTGTGGCAGCCCAGGGTTAGGAAGAAAGTCTCCGCAGGTTGCCACAGCCTGCTGTCCCTCCTCCGCCTGCCCAAGGTCTTGGGAAAGAACACCGGTGTGGCAGGACTCAAGGACTCACCTGAACCCAGTGGCCAGGGGGACCTCTCCCATTGGTCCGAGGGGCCACGTGGTGCTGGGCAATGACGGTGCGGCGGTCAGCTGCTAGCAGCCAGACGTGCAGCTCATAAACACACTGGTCCAGGCGGCTGTCCTCGAACCTGCAGGAGGGCCAGGCTTTCACTGTCATGCAGCTGTCACACCATCTCGGCCCCACACCCCGTGTCCTGTGCGGTGGGGGAGCAGGCATGCCGCCAGCAGCGACTGCTACAATTGTAGATGGAGAGGAGCAGGCAGAAATCAAGGCGTCCAGGGTACAGGGAGAGCAAGAACACGGTGACGGCAGGGGTGGGCGTGGAGTAAAGGCCTACGGCCCCTTCCTGTAACGGGGGTAGGCCTTCATTCGGGTGGAGCTGTGTGAAACTACCCCTTAACAAGAGAATGGACCAGGGAATCACAGAGGGGCAAAGGCTTCGGGAGATAAAGGAGCAGCCTGAGCCACAGGGACCCCACCCAGCTGACGCCTGAAAGATACAAAGGTTGTGTTAAAGGGGCCACAATGTCACGGGTGCTGATGAGGGGCTCAGGCCCCGGGAAACGGGAGCCGGAACTCCAGGGAGCCTGAATGGCCATGATGGGGGGGGGCAGCCAGGCAGGGCGGGGCAGCCGGGCAGGGCGGGGCACACCAGTCCATGATGGTGATGTCAGGCTGTTCGTCATCCAGCAGTTCTTCCCAGAGCTTCTTGGCCAGCAGGTTCACACACTGCTCCTTCACGGTCCAGCTGCAGGGAAACAAGAGGGGAAAGGTGTCTGGCAGTCCCACAATCCTGAGGCCTCCCACGGAGGAGGAAGTATGGTCACAGGGCTCTAGTGACAGCAGGAGACCCCTCCTCTACCCCACACTTGAGAGCCTGTGAGTCCTTGGTTCCTAGGAGACCCTGGAGGGCAATGTACACAAGCCCTTTGTTCCAGAAGAAAACTGACACCTTTAACAGGATTTGAGTCAGACCTGCGATCTCAGCTACTCTGCTGGCTGAGTTAGAGACCTGGAAGTTTGAGGCCTGGGCAATGTAGTGGGATCCTATCTCAAAATAAAAAGTGGAAAGAGGACTAGGGGTGTGGCTCAGGGGTAGAGCCCTGCCTAGAATCCCCCAGTGAGGGGCTGGGGGCGTGGCTCAGTGGTAGAGCCCCTGCCTAGAATCCCCCAGTGAGGGGCTGGGGCGTGGCTCAGTGGTGGAGCCCCTGCCTAGGATCCCCCAGTGAGGGGCTGGGGCGTGGCTCAGTGGTGGAGCCCCTGCCTAGAATCCCCCAGTGAGGGGCTGGGGCGTGGCTCAGTGGTGGAGCCCCTGCCTAGAATCCCCCAGTGAGGGGCTGGGGTTTAAACTCAGTCCTGGAGATTTGTCTAGTTTAAGTTTAATAAGTAAAGCAAAAACAAAAACCGCAATTTTTTTTAAAAATGGGATTTGATTCTGAACCCCTGAATTCCATCCCCTCATCCACCATCAGGAGCCCGACTGGAGCTAATAGAGGGTGACTCCCAGGGAAAGAGGATGTGAGTAAGATTTATCAAACACCTTCTGCGCGCTAGCCAGACTTCTTGCCTGCCTATGTTGCAGTTTCCTAGGCATTCTGTTATGACTAACCCTGTTACCGGAGCGAGAAAGAGAGGTCCCTCTGCAGGAGCCACAGCAAAGGCTGGAGGACAGAAGCCACTCCTAGGCCCTGCGGCAACTCACCTGAGGGGCCCCTGAAGGTTCTCAGTAGTAATGTACCATCCGCGGAAATTACCTGGCCGGTGGGGAAGGGAAGGGGTTGGTGAGCCATCAGTCCTTGAGGGGTGCCATCCTCCCTGGCAGAGCCCCCAATGCTTACCCAGGTCCGTCAGGGGTTTCCGGGTGGGACCCGTAGGGGGCGCCGGCTGGTAGATATTAATGCCTGAATCACACAAGGGAATGGCGCCTCAGGCCAGTGCCCACCTCCTCCGGTCTTCCTACCCCTGGAGCAGGACTGGAAGGGCAGGACTCCAAGCCGGGCTAGACCAGCCTAGCAGGGGCTAAGGATGCTGGTGGGCGGTTACGGGGACTCGGGAAGAAATCGACAGGGAGAACGGAAACAGGGACGGAGGCGAGGGACAGGGTGAGACACACAGACACAAGATGCAGAATCGGACAGAGCTACGGAGACACAGGCGTGCAGTGACAGTCGAGGACCCAGAGGGACATGAGAAAGAAGGCCGACGGCCTGAGCGGCGCGCCGGGTCCGGGTGTTCGCAGCTGCGTGCGTCCGCACCTTCGGGGTTGGGTGAGCTGAGCAGGTTGCGGTAGAGCGGCCGCTCCAGAAACAGCAGCTTCCAGCTGAGGCTCGGGGGCAGCTCCAGCTTCCCGCTCAGGGGTCCCCATTCTTCCAGCAGCAGCTGCCTGGCTTCCACCTCGGTCGGCACTTTGGGCTGTGGGAGCTCGGGCGTCTCCGGGGACAAGGGAGACCTTGGAGACGGCGGCGGTGGCGGGGACTGCGGAGACGGGGGCAGCTCCTCGCAGTTCTGGGACCCCTCAGCTCCCATCCCTCCGCTGAGCGCGTCGCTGTCCTGTGTCTTCTCCATCCCTAAGGTCTGGGCGACTGGGTCGCGCTTCCCCTGAGGATCCAGGTTAACTGGGGGTGGAGGGGCGGGGCAAGTCATTAGGCATTTAAGAGAGGTGTGTCAGGGGAAGGATCTGAACCCCGGGGCCCTCCTCCCTCAGAAGGGGTTCAGTCCCTGCCCCCAGCCCCCAGCTTCACACTCTTCTGTCCCGTTTCCCCAGGGCCAGCTGAGGAGCCCCCCTGGCCCTGGGGCTAAAGTCAGGCTCTCTAACGATAGGCTGACCGCGCAGGATTGAGGCCAGTTAAAGCCACCCCCTCTCCTCCCTTCTCACACTATGCGGGGCTAGGAATGGGCAGGGGTCTGGCACGGGCACATCCTCGCCCCTCCTGGGACACATCTCAGTAGTGAGACTGTGTTGTCAGAGGTGGGGGACCCTAGGAGTCTGGCGTAGCTTCCCTGGGTGACTGTGCCTCCCTGCCTCCTCCTTCAGAGAGGATGGGGCATAGCGGAGGCAGGACTTTGGGGCGTGAGGAACCTGTAGGGCCAGATACCCAAGGCCACTTCCTGTCCGTGGCTCATCCCCCACCCGGTCTGGTTAGCCCTGAGCAGAGACCATCAGCAGCGGTGAACTTTGGTGGCCGGAGTGTTCGCTCCTTCACCCCGTTCCACTGACAGAGGGGCGGAGCAATGAGATGATGGGCAGTTTGTAAGCAGATCCGCGGCCTGAAGCCCCCCAGTCCACATCTCACCCGCAACGGCCCTCGCCAAGCTTTTGAGTTATTTTGTTTTGGTTTGGGGCTTTTGTGTTTTGTTTATTTTGTCTCCAGACAAAGTATTTATGTAGCCCAGACTGGTCTTGAACTACTGATCCTCCTGCTTCTACCTCCCAAATGATGGTAAATGAGCTTGTGCCGGCTCGTCCTGTGTGTGCTGCTGCAATTGGTACCCCCACGCTCCCAGGCCAGGCAGCACACTTCCACAGACTCAGAAAACAAGACAGCCTCAGACAGACACCTGAAAGGGACACTCAGGCCCCAGTGATAACGCCTGCCTCCCCCTCGTTGTTTCTAGCCGGGTTATTGGGTAAGCCATCCCATCTCCTCATCCACCTCAGAAAGTCTGCCCTGTCCTTCTGCCCATTTTGCCAATGAAGAAACAGAGAGGTCTAGTGACTCACTAGATGTTGCACAGCGGGGACACGGCAAGTTGGACAGATGCACAGGAAGTCTCGGGTGTGCTCAACAGTGATCAGATTCGAATCAAGAAACACAGCCACCGGCTCCAGACGATAATAGTTACCAATCACTTAAACCCATTCACTTTAATAAGAGCCCCGTGAGGAGCTGAGGCAGGAAATGGTTGGCTATTGGCCTGCACTCTGAAGGGTTGGGAAGTCACCAGGGCCCTATGAAGGCTGAAGTGACAAATGCACCTTCCAGGTGTCACCCTGCCACACCCCAGCAGGTTCCCAGAAAATACCAGCAGAGCCCATGGTACACCCAAGACTGCACACACTCCTGTGGCCATCTCAGCACACGCCCCTTGTCCCAGCTCAACTGCCAACCTGCCTCAGGCCTGTGGTGGTGGGTGGGAGGGAGGTCTGATGACTGGGGCCAGAATCCAGGGCAGGGTGTGGCCGCAGCCCGCATGGACCGCAGGAAGAAGCCCCAAGACAATAGAGGCTTTGGGTTCGTTTAAAAATGTATTTATTCTCCTCTAATTCATACACACATAAACAGATATGACTATAAAATGTACTTTGATCATATTATCCTTATCCACCCCCTCCCTCCGGCTGAAACTAATATGCCCCTGCCCTACTTTGATGTGTTTTATTTGTTTGTTTTGTTTGAGAATATATTCTTATGTAGTTCAGGATGTCCTCAAGTCCCCCAGCTACAGTACTGGGCTGTCACATGGCCTGTTGAGTGTGCTGAATTGTTCTTTTGTGTTGGTAAAGATGAAACCTAGGGCTTTGTGAATACTAACCAAGCTTCTGCCCAGCCACGCCCCAGCCCCTCACTGAGGGATTCTAGGCAGGGGCTCTACCACCGAGCCATGCTCCAGCCCTATCTTAGGCTTAGGCTTTTTCTTTCCTTCTTGCCTGTGCGTCCATGCTCAGCGGGTCTCAAATCCTGGGGTATGTCTGATTCACAGGGGAGCTCCCTTGTTCCATCACAGAAGTCTGGGATGGGCCCCAGAACCTCAGAGTTTGCCTGAGTGTGAGGACTCTGGATGTGTGCCTTTTGTTCTAGCAGAGCAAGTGGATTCATACACTACCAGCTTCTGCTCTGGCCACTGGGAGATCAGGAATGTCACCGGTGCTGCATTTAGCCAAGAGCAGAGGATATCCATGCTGGTCAAGGCAGCCCCACGGTGGAACAGCTCAAGGGCAGACACCTGGGTTAACACCTGGGATGTAACTGCAGTCTGGGTGCTCATAAAGGCCGGTGTGTGAAGGGCATGGTCTCCAAGTTGGCACTGTTAGGTGATGGGGTTAGTAGGTCATCTTCTGGTCCCCAGAGTGTGTCCTGTCCCTCTCCATTGTGCTCTTCCTGAACACCATGACTGCAAGTCCTCACAGTGAGACCATTTTTAACTCTTTGGGGGCCACCGCCCAGCTCCCAAATAAATACATGGAGATTTATTCTTATGAATGCCCAACCTTAGCCTGCTTGTTTCTAGCCAGCTTTTATTAATTTAAATTATTCCCTCTACCTTTTGCCTCTGGACTTCCACCTTTCTCTATTTCTGTGTACCTGTTCTTTCTTATTCCATGTCTGGCTGTGTGTCTGGGAGGCTGTGTGTCTGTCTGGGAGGCTGTGTGTCTGGGAGGCTGTGTGTCTGGGAAGCTGTGTGTCTGGGAGGCTGTGTGTCTGGGAGGCTGTGTGTCTGTCTGGGAGGCTGTGTGTCTGGGAGGCTGTGTGTCTGTCTGGGAGGCTGTGTGTCTGGGAGGCTGTGTGTCTGTCTGGGAGGCTGTGTGTCTGGGAGGCTATGTGTCTGGGAGGCTGTGTGTCTGGGAGGCTGTGTGTCTGTCTGGGAGGCTGTGTGTCTGTCTGGGAGGCTATGTGTCTGTCTGGGAGGCTGTGTGTCTGTCTGGGAGGCTGTGTGTCTGTCTGGGAGGCCGTGTGTCTGTCTGGGAGGCTGTGTGTCTGTCTGGGAGGCTGTGTGTCTGTCTGGGAGGCTATGTGTCTGTCTGGGAGGCTGGCCCTGGCATCCTTCTCTTCTCTTCTTGCTCCTCCCTCTTCTCTCTCCTCTTTCTATTTATTCTCTCTGCCCACCGGCCCACCTATCCCTATCCTCTGCTGAGCTACTGGCCGGCCATTCAGCTCTTGATTAGAACAATCAGGTGTTTCAGGCAGACAAAGTAACACAGCTTCACAGAATTAGACAGATGCAACGTAAAAGAACGCAACACATTTTTGCATCATTAGGTAAATATCCCACAGCATAAAAAGGAATCTAATACATCTTCAAGTAATATCGCAGAATACTTTGGGTTCTGGGAATCGAACCACAGTCCTCTGGAAAAGCAACAACTGCTCTTAACTGCTGATTTATCTATCACTCAGTTACATCTCATTTTTAAAGTTGAGGTCGCACATATTTTTGTTATAGCAGCAGACAGTTAATTAGCTTACTGCTGCATCCTTACACTGGGATTCTACCCAGCCAGCAAAAGGAATGAACTATCCAGTGTGGATTCCTGGATGAGTCTAAAAATCTCTATGCAGAACAATAAAAAACAGGCCAAACAGTCAGACACCTTTAATCCCAGCACTCAGGAGGCAGAGGCAGGCAGATCTCTGTGAGTTCGAGGCCAGCCTGGTCTACAGAGCTAGTTCCAGGACAGGTTCTAAAGCCAAAGGGAAACCCTGTCTCAAATAACAAAACAAAACAAAAAAATCCTGGAAAAGGCAAGATTAACTAGCATCAAAGAAATCATGTTGGTAGCCATTAGAGGTTAAAGGAATCACACTCAAAAGCCATGAGGGAAGCTTCACACGCAGTGAGATACAAGGTCCCACTGTGTAGCCCAGGCTGTCCTGAACCTAGATAGGTACATCAGGCTAGCCTGTAACTCACCAGAGATCTACCTGCTTCTGCCTCTTATGTGCTGGGATTAAAGGCGTGCACCACCACACCAGACCTAGAAAGTTCTATCTTAACTGTCACAACATGATATGCTTTTGTCAAAATGCATCTAGATGTATTTTTTGTTCTTTTTCAAGACAGAAAGGGGTTCTCTGTGTAATAGTCCTAGTTGTTCTGGAACTCACTCTGTAGACCAGGCTAGCCTTGAACTCACAGAGATCTGCCTGCCTCTGCCTCTCAAGTGCTGGGATCAAAGGCGTGCACCAATACTGCTTGGTCCCATCTAGATGTTTTTTTAAGTGAGTGTGTTTATCATGTGTTCATTATGTCTTGATAGGAAACAAAACAATCAAGAATCCAGTCATGCCGGGCAGTGGTGGCGCACGCCTTTAATCCAGCACTCGGGAGGCAGAGGCAGGCAGATCTCTGTGAGTTTGAGGCCAGCCTGGTCTACAGAGCGAGTTCAAGACAGGCTCCAAAGCCACAGAGAAACCCTGTCTCGATAAACCAAAAAAAAAAAAAAAAAAAAAAAAAAAAAAAACCTTACACTTTAATTGAGGGGATTTCTACCTACAAAGCCAGGAAGTAGAAAATAAGTACAATATTGGGCTCAGGAGCCACTGCTCACGTGACAGGAAATGAAATAGGATAAGTATTTGTCCAAGGAGGCTGTTGTTGGCTTATAATTAGCAGAGCTGGACTGGATGAAGCTCGGCTTGCAGGGCGCTGACTTAGCACACTCCGGGTCTTGCGCCTTAGCGATGAAATGGAACATGGTGCAGAAAGCCGCCAGAAGGGAGAGGCAGGAGTTTAAGGTAGAGACTGCACAAACAGCGTCGGGATACATGAGACCCCGAGGAAGAGAAAAGAACAGCAAAAAATTTACCACAAGCACCTAGAATCTAGTCAAGTTGGCCACAGAGAAGACTATTTTGGCTCACGGTTTTGGAGGCAGCATAAGTCATCATCAGCCTTTTTGGTTTGGGCCTGAAGTGACACTGTTGGGGAAGCAGGTGGAGATGCAAGATCCTTGTCCCACAGCTGAGAAGTGAACAAGGAATAAGATGGAGCCAGGGACCAGAAGGCCTTCTGTTAGGCAAAACCTTGTAAAGGTTACATATCCTCCTGGTGTAACTGCTCCAGGGCCCTCAACCCCTCACTGGGCGATTCTAGGCAGGGGCTCCACCACTGAGCCACGCCCCAGCCCCTCACTGGGGGATTCTAGGCAGGGGCTCCACCACTGAGCCACGCCCCAGCCCCTCACTGGGGGATTCTAGGCAGGGGCTCCACCACTGAGCCACGCCCCAGCCCCTCACTGGGGGATTCTAGGCAAGGGCTCTATCACAGAGCTACACCCTAATCCCCTCACTGCAAGATTCTTGGCAAGTGCTCCACTACTGAGCTGCATCCTTAGCCTTCTAGTGTGAGTGTGTGTTGGAGGTCATAGGAAAATCTCAAGTGTCAATCCAAGCCTTTCACATTCTCCTGTCTCCACCTCCCACCTCGCTCTAGGAACACTGAATATACAGACACAAGCTAAAACACCTTGATCTGGGTTATGAGGATCTGAACCCAGATTTTCATGTTTGCATGGAGAACACATTTTCCCAGTGAGCCATCTACTGGGCTCAGTGGCCTTTTCTTTTACTTTTCTTTGACAGGGCCTCTCTGCCACCCTGGCTGTCCTAGCACTCACTCTGTAGACCAGGCTGGCCTTGAACTCAGAGAGAGCTCCACCCACCTCTGCCTGGAGAATGCTGGGATTAAAGGTGTGGGCCACCACACTGGTGTTTTGTCTTTTAAAGGGAGTACTTGGCCATGGTTTTAGAGCTTCAGCCCCTGGTCTCTACTGTCCTGGGTCAGTCATGAGGGAGCACACCAGGAAGTAGCCGTTTCTGTCCAGAGGGGTGGTGTGCAATGGCAACCCCTTTGTAGATTTGCATTTCTTGGGTAACGAGTCAGAACCTCGCTCTTGACCGCATGGCCTTCGGGCTCTTGCTTCTCCAACTGTCTGGTCAACACCATCACCCATGTCCCTGCTACGGTTACCCTCCTATTCTTGCTAGGCTATCTGATCAGTATGGAGGGAACATTTTCCCCATTCTGAAACCTGCCTGTTACATGTGAAAATTATTTAATTACTTAGTTCATTTTGAGTTAGGGGCTCCCGATGTAGCCCAGAGTGGCCTGGACTCTCGTCTCTGTCCTGCTCAGCCTCCCGTGTGCTGGAAAGGCAGCTGCACTGCCATTTCTGGTGTAAGTGAAACATTTTGATTTTCATATTATCACCTATTTTTGCCTTTTATTTTTCATTTATATGCTTTATGTACTTTTATTTCAGATGTCCTTTTCTGCCTCTGCAGTCATGCACAGGGCTTTCTTCTGTCTACTCTTGGTCACAGCTTTTCATTTCTGTGACCAAACTCCCGAGGGGAAAACAGGCCTCTGTTCCTCACAGACATCTGAGGGGTTTCTAGATTAAGTTAGTTGAGGGGGCAAGATACACCCTGAACATGAATGCTATACTTCCATGGTCTGAGATCTCAGGCTGAATTACAAGGAGAAAATGGTTGGGGCTGGAGGGTTAGCGCTGGTGTGGGACACGCTAGTCACTTCCAAACACACTCAAGGAACCATATGTGAGATGCCATATTGGCGCTGGAAATTGAACCTGGGGCCTCTGCAAAATGAGCCAGTGCTCCTAACCACTGAGCCATCTCTCCAGCACCATGTTAATTTTTGTTTGGTTTTGTGGTGCTGAGAATTAAACCCAGGGTCTCATGAATGGTAGACAAACACTCCACTGGATCACATATTAGATTCAAATTAAATAGCCAGCCCACATTTGCCTGGGGTGTCCTGTTTTGGACAGTACAAGTTTAGGGTGCCTTTAAACCTTTAAAATATTTGTTAATATGTTCTTGCCTGTGTCAGGGGACTATTTACAGGAATTGGTTCTCTTTCCACCCAGTGAGTCCTGGGGATAGAACTCGGGTCACTGTGCTTGGCGGCAGGCACCTTTACCAGCTGAGCATCTCGCCGGCCTGTAGGCTGACCCCTCTTGTACAATCCCAGGGACATTTTTCTTCCTCGTGGTGAAATGCACCAGCTTCCTATGCACTATTATTCAACAATCTCTTTTCCCTTCTTGCCTTGCAGAGATCACCACTCTTGTATGAAAACCTCTGTCACATATCCATCCTATCTGCCTTTGGACTCTTGGGTGTGTTCCTAGGGTCAAACCCAGCAAATCCCATGAGCCCCTGGGGTGGGGCTTCTTAAGCCCCTGGCGTTGCAAGGACTACATTTTCCAGCCTGCCTTGCCCCTGGGCGTGGCCAAACACCTGGCCAATAAGAGGTGGCGCAAACAGTGGGTCAAGTCCTTAAAGGAGCCTGTCCTTCACAAGGAGGTGACAGTCACAGGATGGAGGGCTGATGGAGACTGGGGTCCCCGTGACATGAAGGGCCGAATTCCAGTTCCGTGTTTAGCACAGAAAGGTTGCTTTGTTTCTGGGGTTTCCACAATGGAGTAGACATCTGAGTCCCTTGTTGACATATAGATTGATGGACCCACCCAGGTCCTGAATCAGCCTGGGCGGGACCCAGGAAATCAAATTTGCAAATTTGGTGGATCAAGGGTGAATGATTGAGAGACCCGCTGGTCTGACCAGTTCCCACCGGTTGTTTGGGTTCTTTGCTCACACCCCTCTGGCCAGAAGAATAAACATCTGGAACTCGCCGGCCTGCTCTTGGGTCCTACTGTCACCCACCTCAGTCGATTTAATGCTGCTGAGGTGTCGGCCAGTTGCCTTTGGGTAAAGCGAGTCGGTAATTCCGTCTTCCTCCTGCGCTGCCATCGCAGGTGGCATGCGCGGCCCTCTCACTTCCTAGCCTGGGGTCCCCCGTTTGCAGTCTAGAGGTCCCAAGAAAGCCATTGTAGAAACACCCTTGCCAATGCACCGAAAAGGCTTCAGGACAGGCACCTGGGAGGAGCCATTCTGCTCTAGTCACAGCTGAGGTGAGTGACCTTTCCAGGGTTGGGGTAACACCACTGACCCCCTTTACCACTCCCCCCCCCGCCACTCTTGTGACAGTGGCCCCGTAGGTCTTTGGGGAATTGGCCTTTTGTCTCCTCCCATCTTCCCGACACTGTGACTGACATCCCTACACTAAATCCGGATTGGGACAGTCAGGGGTTTAGGTGTGCCCTGATGGTAAGTGGCTGACCTTTGGGGACATTCCTGCACAGTTGACTGGAGCACAAGGCAGAGCCGAGAGGGGCGTGAACCGCTTGTAGCAACTCCTACTGTGAGACACGGAGCCACCCCTTCCAAATGCAGGGACAGTGCAGATGTCCAAACCAGCGGTCGACGTCGAGTGGGGCATATGGCAGGGCGGTGACTTCCTGCCGTTTCTTCACCTGCACTGTGCCTCCCAGAGGCGTTCAGTTGTCCACGGGGACCGCAGGGAGCTCAGGCACTCAGCATCAGGGCTCTGGAAGCTTCCCTTTCCCAGGATCGCCAGCGGGTTAGTCCCTTGGTCCTGCTCTCTGCAAGTCTAGATTCCTTTAATGTTTGCTCCATCATCTGTTTCACTTTTGAGAGTCTCATTGTGCAGCTCTGACTCTAGCTCACTCTGGCCTCAAACTCAGTCACCAGCGTCTGCCTCCCAAGTGGTGGTGGGATTAAAGGCACACACTGCCACGCCCATCTTATTTCTGTTTCATGGTCTCATTCAGGCCCGGCTGCCTCCAACTCTGCAATATCTGATCCCCCTGCCTCACACCGTGTTCTTTCTGGAGGACAGGCATGGTTTTACATGGTGCCGAGGGCTGGACCCAGAGCAACTACTCTACCAACTGAGCCATATTGCAAAGTGGATCTCCCTATAAAAACAGCCAGGCCGGAGGCTCATTTATCTTTGGGCATGTCTTTCTTTCCCCCTGCCAACTCTGGCCTGCTTGTTCACAGGAAGGGATCCACTCCACTCAGGCCATCCAGTCTCAACAGTAACTGCTTCTCACACTACCATGTCTACATTTGTAAGATCACCAGGCCCTTGACATGGGCAACCACATACAGGTCCCCACCTCTGGAGGCCAGAGCCGTGTGGCAGTAGTGAACTGGGCAGCCCTGAGCCCGGTGGCCAGGAGCCAGCTGGCCCTCATTCCCCGACTAGCTTCCTCTTGGGGGTGCTCAGAGGCAGTGATGGAAGTGCTCAGGCGGCAGAGGCGGGCAGGGTGCTGGCTGGCAGCAATAGATGCTCTCTTCCCCATCGGTGGGCTCGGTCCGCGGACAAGTGAGCTCCCGGTTACTCAGCCCCAGTCAACCCCAAAGAGCTCATCTGCTAGTTCTTACACTAGTTAGGCTCAACACATACCATTCCCAGGACAGCCAACCTGATCAGGAGACAGAGGCAGGGGAGCGCTGTGAGTCTGAAGTTAACCAGGTTACACGGTGAGTGTAGGCCACCCTAAGCCGTGCAGTGCAGTGAGACCTTGTCTCAAACACACATGTTCTTTTTGAGGCCGCCGGGGTGTGGGGACTTGTACCCTGGCCAACAGGTTGCTTCCAGAGTCTTGTCCCATGCAGGGAGTAGGGAGGAGTCTCTCCAACAAAGCCTGATTCCCAGGCCCAGTCCCCAAATTTCCTTCACTACACATAGGGGGCAGCAGCCTTCACACACCACACACCCTAAACCAAGAAAGTGTTTTAATTGTAAAACTAACTTGAGGGAGCGGTGGCAGGGTGGGGGACAGGAGCCTGATTCTTCAAAGTGGCTCTGTCTCTGGGCCACCCCATCTACAGGTCAGGGATCATGTGCCCCAGGCTGGGACACAGCTAGTGTTATAAAATGACAATATAAATAGACTTCTAGAAAACGGAGGCTGTCCAGGTGCAGTAGTCATCGCTGCAGAGGCTGGGGGAGGGGAGGCCCCAACCTGTCTCTTCATGGAAAGAGGGTGGGGGCTCCGGGAAAAGGCCACTCTTCAAACATTCATGATTGACCCTTCAATGGCTCAGGGTCAGGGGCTGGGCACCAGGCAAGGCCTGAGACGTCCACTTGCAGGCAGAGGATGCAGGAGCTGGGCTTTCTGGATACACGAGTGCGCGTGCGCGCGCGCACACACGCGCACACACACACACACACACACACCTCATCGAATTCATAGCATCAGCTCTGCCCCCAGTGGCCCCTGATGCAGATTTCCAGTGATGGGGCAGCCGCCTTCTCTCCTGTGCACAGAGCACAGGGGAGGGGTCTGTCCTGGAGGGTGAGGGACCCAGGGAGCCTCGCTTGCTCCCACGTCCCGGTGTTGCTTTACAAGTCATGGAACCAGAACTGGAGATCAGTAGTTGGGTCCCAGGAAGCCCCCAGCACAGTGACGGTGGCCCAGTGTCTCCAGGGCAATGGGAGTGGGTCGGCCCCCTACTGCCTGTGCTGGGCAGGGTGGCCCAGGGCTCTTTGGTTCAGAACCAGGCTCCAGCTCATCTGGTCCGGTGCTGGCGCATGAGGGGGTACGATGCTGGCCGGCGGCCCTGCCTTGGTGAGGAATGGATGCTTCAGGAGCTCAGCAGCAGTGGCCCGCTGGGCTGGGTCACGCACCAGCAGGCGGTCCAGGAAGCCTTTCAGGGATGGTGATGCCTATGAAGGGGCAAAGGTCAGGAAGACAGGGTTACTTGCTACAAGACCACTTCTTATAATGTCCTGTGGGCTGATGGAATCTGGGGGGGGGGGGCGGGGTTTGGAGAAGCCTCAGGGGTTACCATTGGGCCACAAGGTTCATTTCCTCCCCACTTCTGTGGTTTAACAAAAGGGGGACAGGCCCCTCCCAGATGCAAATCCCCCAACAGTCAGGCAACCTGGGTCTAAGCTCCCTGGTAGCTAGGGCTCAGAGGACCCTGTGGCTCTGTCTCTGGGGCTGGGGGAGTCACGAATGGCACAACCTAATTCCGCTCACCTTGTGCAGGTTCTTTAGTCGGGGTGGCAGGTTGTCCCGGATCATCTTCATGGCTTTGAGGGGTGGCTCGTTGAAGTAGGGGGGTTCCCCATCCACCATCTCAATCACCATCACCCCCAATGACCAGATGTCCACCTAGGGGAAAGGGACCATAGGGCTAAATGCAGAGACCAGCCAACCCTCTGTAAGTCCCAGGAAACATGGCCCCCAGTTGTCCCTTGTCCTGGGCCCATAACTGGGGACAGCAGTCCTGCCAACTGTTCAAGCTCCATTCCTGTCACTTACAAGCCACCCTGCCTCAGACAGTCCCAAGGACTCTCATGCCCGCCTAGCTCCTCGTGAGGCCGTCCAGCCTGCCCACCCCATGTCTAGTGGGGTCTTATTTGCTGACTGATGGGGGGAAACCTCAGGGCTAGACAGAGCAGGCCAGAATGAAGGCGCCACCCTTTCCCTAGGAGCAGAGGCCCCCTCGTCGTCACCCCAGCCTTTCCAACAGATAAAGGAAACTCAGGCCACCTTCATGCAGGCTGCTCAGGACTGGGTAGGGCACCGCTGGGCTCACCTCTGGGCCGTAGGGAAGGCGGGAGATCAGCTCTGGAGCCATCCAATAGGGTGTGCCCACCAGCGACTTCCTCCTTGGCACCTCCTTGCTCACCTGGGCGCAGAACCCGAAGTCGGACAGCTTCACCTGCACAGACAGAGGCTGCAGGTCAGAGGTGCCCGCCTACCCGGCCGGCTGTCTTCAGACACAGGCTCCCCTGAGCGCCAGGGGCGAGGGCTCTGCTCCCTCCCGGCAGGGCTCTCAGGTGGCCTGAGGTTCTTAGGGGATGAGGCTCAAGGCCTGCAGATGGTGAAGGCTCGGGGGGGGGGGGGGGGGGGGTGCAAGACAGGCAGGCTCTGAGAGCCCAGGGTTTGGGCCCTTGGACTTAGTGGGAACACAGCACAAGCTGAGAGAGAGAGAGAGAGAGAGAGAGAGAGAGAGAGAGAGAGCGCAAAAGAGTGAGGGGAGGGAAAGAACGAATGAGCACACCTCTGCCCTAGCCAGTACCTGGGTCTCAGCCTTTTGGACCCCTGACGTGTATGGCTCTTCTGGACCCCAGCACTCATGTCCCCTTAGGCTATGGGTGCTAACTGACTCAACCTGGGCCTCAGACTCAGAGTCAAGACCTCAGTCTAAAAGAGGGGAAGCCAGCAAAGTCAGCTTCACACCACAGGGCCCAGACCGTCATCTGGTCAACCCTGTGCTCCAACCTGGCTAGCTAAAGTGAGGGAGGCACTCAGGACCACACAAGGGCCAAGAGGGAGGTTGACACTTGGGTCCACTGGCACAGGTGTCCAATGCCGGAGTGCCCGGGCATCAAGGCCCTTGGGGTCCTGACTGGAGGAAGAGATGACTTTGTAATCTCAGCTCTCAGGAGTCTAAAACAGGCGTTAGAAGCCAGCCTGGGCCAGTGCAGCAAGTATCAGGCCAGAGGGGACACACAGAAGACACTGTCTCAAAAACACGAGCATAAGCCGGGTGTGGGAGCAGATGTATCTCTGTGAGTTCAAGGCCAGCCTAGTTTACACAGCCAGTTCCAGGGCAGCTGCTCGGCAGGGAAGCACGTAGCTCAGCACTGTGGCTGCTGGCCTAAGCCTCCTCTCCGGCCCTGGGCAGGGCTCTACCTTCCAGTGCTGAGGTCAGTGCCTTCCACCAATCTGGATCCTTCTCTGCGCTCTCCTGTGAGGAACAGATCAGCCAGCTGCTCCTCCAGTCACCAAAAGCTCAACTGTCACCCTAGCAGATTGATAATGGGGGGCCTGGCCGGGATCCCAGCACCGGTGTGACGCTGACCATCAGCTGGAGAAGGCTGAGAGGTGCCTAGCTTTGAGTGTGTCTGAGGACATTTCCAGAGAGGATGAGCCGTTGACAAGAGCTATCCTGCATGCGGATACTCCTGCTCCTCTACAGGCTGGAATGGAGGGGAGACCCTCAGTACACGCTTTCTCCTGCTTCTTGGCCGCCAAGAAGGAAGCTGCTTGGCTCCATTCCACTTTACTACGATGGACTGAAACACTAAGAAACAAAACACAAAACTGTCCTCCTTCAAGCTGCTCTGTCAAAAAGATGAAAAACTGTTGGGCGTCGGTGGCGCACGCCTTTAGTCCTGGCACTCGGGAGGCGGAGGCAGGTGGATCTCTGAGTTTGAGGCCAGCCTGGTCTACAGAGCGAGTTCCAGGACAGCCAGGGACACTTGAGGAACTCTGTCTTGAAAATCAAAACCAAATAATGAAAAGCCACCTCACCCATCCAGCCACTCTTCCACTTACCCGGCCGTCATGGGTTAGCAAGATGGAGTCACTCTTGATGTCTCGGTGGATGACACCCTGGGCATGCAGCACAGACAGCGCCTGCAGCACAGCCAGGCACACGGCAGCAATCTGTTCTTCGTTCATCCTGCGTGGGCAGAAGGAGCATCTGGGTGGGCAGGGTGCTCTGGGATGTCCGGCCCAGGGGTGAGGGTGGGCGGCTGACAGACAGACCCCTACTCTGCTTCAGGACATCAAGAGGTCAGAGACCTACCTCAATAGGGGTTGGGGGGACCTAAGATGCCAGGACCCCACCCTGTGTGCCTGGCTTCCCTGCCCCACCCGCACTCCGGAGGGACTTGTCTATCACCAGAAGCTGAAGGGCCCCAGCTGTACCCCAGGGGCACACGGGCCGGCAGCAGCACCTGGTATGGGTGACGATGTCCGTGAGGGCGCCTCCCTCCAGGAACTCCATGACCACCCAGAGCTCGTCACCCACCAGGTAGCTGTTGTACATCTCCACCACATTGTCGTGCCGGTAGTCCCGCATGATCACCACCTGGTTAGGGGCAGAGTCAACACTGGGACCATGGGTCTTGCCTCTCTCTTTAGAGCTGGTGCTGGCCAGACTCTCACCACCTTCCAACAGGCTGTGCTGACGCAAACTGGCTCACCCTGGCTGCCCCCAAAGTCAAGAATACCTCCAAGGTAGCCTGGGGCAGACCCCTCCATTCTCGGGGTGTACCTTGAACCCCTATCCCACCATTCCAGGTTCTTTAATCCTGACTGGTCCTGGCTGCTTTTTTGGGTGCTCTAACCATCAGGAGGGGACAAGCAGGTGTGAAGGAAAGTGAAAATCGAGGTGTGTGTGGTGTGCAGGGGCGGTTAATGAAGAACCTTCCACGAAGGCCGACCGGTGAGGGAAAGGTCTGGGAGCTAAGGGTGGTGGTGGGGAACGCTATGCTAACAGGAGCCACGGAAGCAAGTCCAGCCTAAGGAGGACCCCCTGGTGTGGATGGAGCACTGGGATCTGGATAAGGAGGACTCCCTGGTGTGGATGGAGCACTGGGATGTGGTGTGAGGAGCAGGCAAAGGTCGGGGAGAAAGGGCTAGGAGCTGAACAGTCTCCGAGTTGGACCTCTGGGGACTCCTGTAGCAGAGGCAGGAGGACTTGTCACACAGACACACTGTCAGCCTGTGTGACGGATGCCGAGGTTGCCGACACCCAGAGCCAGAAGATGGGTTGAACCAAGTGCTGGGCATTCTTTTTTGGTTTTGTTTGAGACAGGATTTGTCTGTGTAGCCTTGGCTGTCCTGGAACTCACTCTGTAGACCAGGCTGGCCTTGAACCCATAGAGATCCGCCTGCCTCTGCCTCCCGAGTGCTGGGGTTAAAGCGTGGGCATTCTTAGGTGATAATAAGCCTCTGAGTTTTATCTGGGAGCTGGGTGGCGGGAGCCCAAAATAACAAAGAGTAAAAGAGTCACACAGTGAAACAGTAACAGCAACCGCAGGGCTGGACTCTGCCCTGAAGACACGGGAGGCCTGTGAGGGCTTCAGTGACGGAGACTTCCCTTGGACGTTATATACAGGGCGTCCGGGGGACCTGAGGCAAACGCTGGAGCAGGGCCCAGGGGCCAGAGAGGCTACACAGAAGAGGGACTGGAGGAGGGGGATGGGCTGGGGTCCACACACAGTGAGGTACGACTGTTTCCCAGAGACAGGGACCCGGAAAAAAGTCATCTGGAGGGGAGGACACGGGCCCGGAACTGCTTGGAACAAAGCAGCCTGGGTCATGGGCACAGGCAGGAGCCTTAGGCTGGGGACAGCTGTGAGGTGAGGACAGCGCGGAGCTTCCTGGCCTCGCCTACCTCATTGAAGAGCAGCTCACGCCTTTGCTGCTTGCGCAGGTCCATCTTCTTGACGGCCACCAGTTTGCCTGAGCTGCGCACGGTGGCTATGCACACGATACCTGTAGAGCCCTCGCCAATCTTGATGAAGTTATCCAGATAGGAGCGGGGATCCCCTGGGTCTACCACCAGCTGCAGAGCAGCCCGGAACTGCTCATGGGACACTCGCTGGGGCTCCCGCTGTGGAGAGCGAGGCCCAGGGGGCCCCGGGGCAGGGGGGGCAGCAAGAGCATGTGCTGGGGGGGCCAGCTGGGGCTCAGAGGCGTGGGGGCCCAGCACTCCTGGGTTGGGAGCACCATGGGCTCTGGTGGGAGGCCGGGAGGAGGATGAGGACTGAGGGGCAGCCAGGCCCGGGGCTGATGGCCCATTAGGGGCCACACTGTGTGGCTCCCCCTGCAACAGAGAAAGAGGGGTGTGAGCGTGAGCGGAGGCCGCATTAGCTCTCCCCAGCTGGTGACACACACGGGAGGGCAGGATGACATGGGGTGTGGCTGGGGAAGGGGGAGCAACCGGAAGAGGACCCTGAGGCGCTGAAGTGGGGGAAGGGTTACCTGGGTACCGCGGGGCGGGTGGTCCGAGTCAGCCCGTGGGTATGTGTTAAAGGGTCTGCCAGCCGCTAGTTTCGCTCCGCTGGCCAGATTGGCAGGCTGGGGGGTGCTAACATCAGGCCCAGAGAGGGGGCGCTTATCTCGGGGGGCCTCCTGGGGCGCTCCAGGGCCCTCCCTCGAAGACTTGGGCCTCTTCTCCGGCCCCACCCGCCGTCTGTCGCCACTGCCTGCCTCGATGTGGCCTGTGGCCCGGCCTTTGCCTCCACCCTTGTCAGGGGCCATTCTGGCCGGGGCTGCCCGCTCCTCCAGCATTCCGTTCTCCTGGTGGGCACGGGCAGGTGGCGGTGGGCTGTCTCTGCGCAGGGAGTTGGAGCGCGTGACCGACATGTTCTCGAACTCGTCCAGCAGCAGCGTGAGGGCCCCATCCTTGACACCTTTGCTGCCCCGCACGATGGTCTGGGGTCCAGGCAATGGCAGGGTAAGGCCAGGAAGGAGGGTGGTACATCCAACACAGACAAGACGATACAACACGAAAACGAGATGGAATGGAGACGAGTGAGGTGATGGGGTGACGGGGACAGGGGACCCACAGTGCTCCACGAACTCCTCTCACGCCCATCACCCACGCTGGGGGCTCCCCCAGCATCTTGACTTCCCTTGGCTCCCAGTCTGGCAGCAAGTTCTGCCCTGTGGACTGGGGTGAGGGAGGTAAACACAGCCTATAATCAACCCCCCCGCCAAGAGCTGCAAATTACAGGCCACTTGGCTCAGCACTTCCTCCCTTGCGGGCTGCCAGCATCATTAACCCCCAAACCAGCACGCTGATCCTCTAGGGCGGAGGGCGGGGTGCAGAGTACAAAGCCCACAGCCTGAAGTCAAGGCCTAGGGGGCCTGGGAGTTGTGTGGCATACACATCCCGAACCACCGCCCTCCCACCTCCCTGCCCCCGTGGAGCTGTGGTCTCCACAGTTCCTCTACACCGAGTCCCCGGCACACAGGCGTCTTCCTTCACTGTTTCCCCAGGACACCAGACACGCGCCCGTCAGCTCTGTGCTCTGCCCTCACCTACATCTTCCAAGTGTCTCCATGGCTGCCTGCTCCGCTCCACAAGGTCTCTGCGGCCTCACTAACTCCTAGCTTAAACGCCAGCCCACAGGTCTCTGGCTCTCCTCCTCCCTCCGGGCTCCGGGCTATGCACCCACCAGGCTGCTCTACCCTGTGGGCTTCCCGAGGGCTGACTGCTCTCTCTGTGGCTCCAGGGTCAGTGTCCTACCGTGAGGGGAGGGGACAGGGGGCTCACAGCAGGGTGGGGGAGCTGTCCCCCCAGGTGGCAGGCAGAGCAGGACCTAGACAGCCTCTGATAGGCTGAGGGTATGCCGCTCACAGGAGCCACCTGTGGTCCCAGCCTGTCTGAGGCCCTGGCCGTCTGCCGAGAAGTCTGGCCTTCCTCTGGGAGCCAAGAAAGCAAGGTGCATGTTAGGTCTCAAATCCCAGACAAATGGCCGAGGTGGCTATTTAAGATATCAAAGCTGACCTGGCTGCCAGGTTCTCCCAGCATCCCTCAGTCCCTACCTGGCTGGCACACCCTGCCCTCTACCCTACGGGCTGAAGTGCCCTTCCCTACATAACCCAGCCATTGTGGCTGAGCTGCTCCTTTTACCTTTTTTAACCTTTTGCCCTCCTGGCCTCCTGGCCCTCCCCTCCCCACCCTCCCTCACATCTAAATACCCCCCCCCACCAGACCCAGGAGAGCACTCATGTCTCCTTTTTTATTTTTATGTTTTCATTCAGTGGCTATCTGTTAGCCTTTGGGAATAGAGCTTGGGGCCAACAGTTCCGGCTAAGGTTGCCCTCATGTGAATTAGGACAAGGGTCCTTCCCCTTGCAGGCTGGGGGCGGGGGGCGTGGATGGGTGGACGGTCCAAGGAGCAGGGGTGAAATTTTGGGGACATCTAGCAGGGACAGGACCTGTGAGAAATGGCCACGGAGCTCAGTGGAGCACAGGAGGGGAGGGCCTAGAGTGCGCTGTCTGGGGACAAGGACCCGAAAAGCAGGGCTACTTCAGAGCCAGTTTCTGCTGGCTTCCAGCTGGCCTGGGTCACGAGAAGCCCATACAGGGTCAGTTGACGAGGGACTTTGTAAGCAATGGAGAGAAGACAAGGCTCAGGTGACCCTGCAGGGCCAGGGAAATGACAGAAAAGAGCCCGGTCTGGGCCTCAGCACTGTGGCCCTGGCCACACGCTGGTTCTGCCTCTTTGAAGCCAGCCCCGGGCTGATCCCTGAGAGAGATGAGTCAGCTATAGGGCCAGGCACCCAGTCTGCTGACCACAGGCACACTCAGCTCCACCCACTGGGGACAAGCTGGCTGTACTCCCCGAGGCCCCGCCACCCGGGGAAAGAAGCCAACTCCAAAGTTGGCTTCAGTAGGCCCAGTAGGGATATACTTATGACTAGGCGTGTGTGGCTGCAGCCTGTGCCTGGGCAAGGAGACCACGATTCTCACTGCACATGGAGGGGTGGGGAAGGGTAGGGAACTGAGATCCAGACCTCAGGCCCTATCCCAGCTCTCCATTCTCCTCAGGATGACAGGGAAAAGCCCCACACGACTGAAGGGTTTGCTGCCTCATTGGGGGCCACCTGCCTCAGGCCTCAGGTGTCCCTTTCCCCCTTGGAACGCAGCTGTCTCTCACGTCATAAAGCACCGAGGAGACCAAGTGTGAGTGTGCGGTGTGGACAGGTCAGGGGTGGGGCCGGTGGGCTCTGCAAGGAGGCCAAGAGCAGCTGAAGGGCTGGGCCACTGTGGCAGCCTAGCTGCGGGGTATGAGTGGCGATGGCTACCTTGGGGGCTCCCGGCTGGATGGAGGTGATGCAGGCAGGGTCGATAAGGGGCTTGGGTCGGCGTGCTGACTCTTCAATCAGGCTCTGCCACTGGCGGGGCAGCCCTGTGAACTTCTGCTCATGCTGGTCAAAGCCTGTGTGCACACGATGCTCGAAGTTGGATGGGGCCGAGATCTCCACCCGCTTCTTCTTCTTTCCAAACATGGTTCCAGAGCCCTAGCACCACAGGTGTGCAGCCCTTGGCTGGGCGCTCACAGGCACCTGTAGGAGGGAAGCAGCAAGGGGGTGGGACCAGAGGCAGGGGGTCTGTCACTCAAGTTCTCTGCCTCTGCCGATTGGTTCTGCAGCGCGCGCTCCTACATACCAGCAGGGGGCAGTAGCCTCCTCCTGAGCTCTGAGAGCTACTTTTGTGGGTTCCTCTGTGAGCACTTAGAGCAGTCATTCTTAACCTTCCTAGCACTTGACCCTTAATACAGTTCCTCAGCTGGGTGGTGGTGGCGCATGCCTTTGATCCCTGCATCAGGGAGGCAGAGGCAGACGGATCTCTGTGAATTTGAGGCCAGCCTGGTCTACAGAGTGAGTTCCAGGACAGCCAGAGCTGTTACACAGAGAAGCCCTGTCTTGAAAAAAAACGATAAACAAACAGTTCCTAAATTCTTATTGTTGCTACTTCATAACTGTAATTTTGCTACTGTTATGAACTGTGATGTCAAGGCCCAAAGGTGTCACGGCCCAAGGCTGAGAACCACAGAGCTAGCAGGTCAGGCCCAGACATTTCCTACTGACAGCTACAGCTAGAATCTTCTTTGTGGCCAGAGACCTCCTGCAGCCCATTCAGGCATGTCCCATTAGCTTCATACTTCAGGGCCTTGGCCCAGGCAGTTCCCCTTGCCTGGGACATCCTTCCCTATCCCGAGCTCCCTCCCTCTCCTCCTCCAGGTAGCACTCAACCCTTTCCCAATCACACAGCCTGATGCCATTACAGCACCTTCAGATGTCCTTAACCTGCAGGGAACCTGCTGCCGGTCTCTCCCCACCCCTACTAACGCTAACAGTGCCTAAACCAGCCCAGCCACAGTGTCCCTGGTCTTCCCCTGGGCCTGGCCCAGTGTGAGTGTGCCAGGTGTAGACTGTGCAGTACCCACCTCCAGTCTGGCCACTACACCCAGCAGCTACAGGCACACAGGCTGCCCCCCCCCCAGCTGTGATGGTACCCTATCTCTAGGGCTTGGACCTTCAATTGGGTGGGCACTTACATAGCCCCAGCCACAAATAAATGAGCTAGGCATGGTGGTGCATGCCTTTAATCCCAGCACTCTAGAGACAGAGGCAGGAAGATCTCTGAGTTCAAGGCCAGCCTGGTCTACATAGTGGGTTCTAAGCTAGCCAGGACTACATAGGGAGATCCTCTCTATAAAAAAGGGATGGGAAGCTGCAGAGATGGCTCAGCCGGTAAGAGCACTGGCTGCTCTTCCTGAGGACCAGGGTTCAATCCTCAGCACCCACATGGTGGCTCACATCCCTCTGTAACTCCAGTTCCAGGGGAATCTGATGCCCTCCTCTGACCTTTGAGGGCATCAGGGACCAATGTGAGGCACAGACATGCATGCAGGCAAAATACTCATACACATAAAATTTAAAGCTAATAATAGTTTTTAAAAAGTAAATTAAAAATAAATAATACCAACAACAAAGAATCCAAAAGCAAGCCTGGCCAGGGCATGGGCTGGCATCCATCCCTGCTTCCCAGCTAGGCAGGGTGCAAAAGGCTCCCCTGGGGTGGAGAGCAACACAAGCCTCCTCTTCCTCTGCCTCTCACTGTGGCCCTGAGAGTGATCCAGCCTCCCTGCCCCCCACAGACCCTTAGGCCAGGGAGACTGGCCTGTGGGAGGAGCCCCGTTGTCACACAGACCTGGTCTGAAGCTGGCTGGGCTAGAAACACCCTGGCGTGGGTGACGTCTCCTCCTGGGGCTTTGAGTTACTCATCTGCAAGACAGCAAGGGAAGCCCCATCAGTCACCGATTCACTCACTAACACCCACTGTACCCTGGGTAGTGGGGGGACATGATGACAACCTAGACAGCATACGACCCACTAAGGTGTCCACGCAGGACACACAAACCATCCCTAGACAGTGACAGCAACCCCTGGAAGGGACAGGGCTGACAACGTGCTGCCAGCCCTGGAGGGATGGATGGCTAAGGGGAGGCTTCCTGTAGGAGGTGCCCGTGAGTGGAGGCCCAGAGGACCAAAGCATGCCACAGAGGACTGCCATCTTCCTCTGACCTGGCTCCCCAGTACCTGACAGGGCGGAGGGCGGCACAGCCGCCCCCAGCCCCAGCCCCAGGCTGAAGACAAGCGTGCAGGGAGCCCCAGCCCACTCTCCCCACCTCCTGGCACAGCTCTCTTTCTTGGGGAGCCACCAGCTCAGCCCACAAGGACATTAATGGGCAAGAAGCCAGGGAAACCGGTTTGGCAGTACAGCCAAGTGAGAGGCAGGTGTGTGTGTGTGTGTGTGTGTGTGTGTGTGTGTGTGTGTGTGTGTGTGTATGTGTGTATGGGGGGGGACCCCAGCAGCCAGCCTGTCTCAACTGGTCCCAGGAGGCCAGCAGGTGGCCAGCCCTCTGCCTGGACAGGGCTTCCCCAGCTGGTCCAGTTTCTTTGCTTGACCCAGGTCCAGGGGTTTTCGATGAGAGTTGGGGCATCTGGGACAGAATGGCCACGCCTGGCTTCTAGCCTTCTCTATCACGCATCCTTCCTTCCAGCCTCTCCTGCCTCGCCCATCCCCATCCCCTTGACCTCTGCGCCAAGGCTGGCTTTGGTGCAGCCTTCCAGCCAACCTGACTTTCCAGCCTTCCCTGAAGCCAGACCTGTTTCTAGAACCTCAACAGTGGCACACCTCATGCTGCCTGGTACAGTGTGGAGCCAGGTGCTGTGACGGGGCTCCCTGTCCTTGTCTAGCTTGGCTCTGCTCTCGGTTCCCACCTCCCACACTCGGGCAGCCCCAAGGCAGCTCCCAGATTGGCGGAACAGGGTGGTGGTGTATGTGATCTCTCACTAAGCTTAGGGAGGTGCTCAGGGTGGAAAAGGCGGGGGGGAGCATGGGCAGTGCCTTCCCACGCTCCCACACAGACCCCACTCGTGACCTCTAAGTCCCCTTACTCACTGCAGCCACTTGTGACCCTGCAGGAGAAGGGCGGAAGGGCACACCTCCGGATATTTGCCTGGGCCACCCCTTCCTCTGGGCAGCATATGGAGGGAAGGACAAACAGAGGAACTGGTAATGTTTATAGTGACCTGGTGCAGGCACCACCCAGGCCCTTCTAGCAGCTCCCGACCTCATGGGTTCAGAACTTCAGAGCCCTGCAGCCCAGGCCTCACAACCCCAGCTGACAGCTAGCTAGCCCTGCATGACCTGCCTGTTGTATCTGTGGGGACCCAGCCCACAGCCCATGGCAGGAAGCTCAATGTGTGACCCCAGGGAAAGAGGTCCCACTTCAGGCCTCGTTCCCTCTTGTTAAGATGGTGATGACAGCAGCTGCTTCCGGCAGCTTTGACAAGGAGTCCCACAGAACACAAACCAAGCAAGGCACTAGGGCCCTGGCTCAGAGCCACTATCACCCAAGCTAGGAGTGAGCGCTCAATGCCAGTCACAGTGACGACAGTAGCCAGCAGGAATGTGCACCCCTCAACCTCTGCTCCTGACCCAGAAAAGGCCATGGACTCCAGGCCTTAAATAAGGGAAAAGAGGCACAGAGGACCCCTCACTTACCAGGGGCAAAGCCAGGGTAGATGTCAGAGTAGGCCACTTCTCCCAGAGCCTGTGGTCTCTCTTTCTAGTGCACAGCCCCATGCCACCTGCACAGCCCTATGACAGAAGCTAATCACCCCAGGTGTCCAGAAGGAAACAGACTCCAGAGAAAAACTCCCCTGCCCAGGCACACAGTCAGTGAGAGGCTGCCCGGATTTGAACCTGGGAAAGTGAGAACCACGGGCTGGGCATGACCACCATGCTGCCTCTACCTCCCTGGCTGCAGACCTTGCTTTCCTCTCCCAAGCTGGTACTGCAGGGGCTGGACCGCACCTCCCACCTAGCTTGTTCCTGGTCCCCTGGGGAATGGCCTCCTGGACTCTCCTCCCAGGGCCTTTGGTAAGACAGGTGACCACAGAAAAGATGCCTGAAAACTCATCCCTGCCACCAAATGTACTTCATTCTGTTCTAGTGCTGACATGGCCATCACTACCATTAGGGAATGTGTGGCCCCACCCAGTCAGGAAACACACTAAAAACTGTAACATCACAGACACAGACAGACACACGCACGTGCGAAGATTTTTTTTCCCCCAAGACAGGTTTTTTTTGTATGGCTCTGGCTGTCCTGGAACTTGCTGTGTAGATCAGGCTGGTCTCAAACTCACAGATCCACCTGCTTCTGCCTCCCTAGTGCTGGAATTAAAGACATGTGCCAAAACTATACTGTATTTTTAAATGCTTATTTTAGTTTTTTAAAATCTCTTGAGTTCTTCAAACTGTGGGATATTCACGTTTTCCAGTTACCCCTTGCCCTACTCCTAACCTTTTATGAGAGGCAAAACCTCCACTTCCCACACTCCCAGAAGGACTGAGCCACCGGCTCCAAAAGAGCCTCCCCTGTCTTGGTGTGCCCTCTGCTTTCCAGGACTGAACTGGGAATGGAGCGGGGTGGGGTGGGATGGGGGACAGGGAGGTGGGGGATGGGGAGTGGGGGCGGGTATTTGGTCCCTGCCTTCTTGAGCCCATCCCTACTCCCTCCCATAGTCAGCTCTGCCAAGCCGAAGCTCCTACCTACGTAATCTTAATGTGCTCGCTCTGTTCCTTTGGTCACTTCTTCCAGGGACTCCTTGGACCTCCTCCTGGATGGCCTCTGTCCCCTCAGCACTGGACCACACACACACACACACACACACACACACACACACACACACACACACACACACACCACACAAGCGACCTGTCACAGCCACTGGGCCCTCAACTACCTATCAGCCCATTTGAGTGACAAGCGAGGGTCGTCTGGCCAGCCCACAGCTATGCAGAGCTGCTGCAGGGGTCAGACTGGGGAAAGGTGACTGTCAATAAGCCAGGTCCACCCGAGGTGGTGGGAAGTGTCAGTCAAGTCCACTGCATGGGGCAGCCAGGAGATAAAAATAAGTGATGGAGGAGGTTGTGAGGCAGGCACTTGGTGGATACAGCCGGCGGCGCAGGGCAGTTGGGATGGAGCCTTGTGGGCCACAGCAAGGGCTCCATCTTTCCCGAGTAAGATGGAGCTGCAGGAAGGGTCTATGCAGGGGAGGGGTGGAACAGGGAACCAGGGGGATGGCTGGAAGATCCAGCAGGAGATAAGATGGACAGGACCCCTGGGGGCTGTGGAGTGCGCAGAGTGGGCAGGTTCTGCTCACTCTAAAGACCAAGGTGACGGGATGGTGCCAGGGCATGGGGTGTGAACTCTGCTGGCCTGGCTCGATTGGCACAGCTTACCCGGGCATCTGGCAGGGCCTCCAGTCCACCCCCTGCCGAGTGCTTACCACCCTGAGCATGGCAGTGTCAGCCTATGATCGGCTGCCTCACACAGCTGGAGCTGTGGCAGGCATGTGCCAGGCACAAAGACAAGGCACCGTGGGTCCCCAAACAGAACTGGGTGGCGGGGGGGGGGGGCTGGGTGTCCTCTTCCCTAAACCAGGAAACTGAGGCCCACAAAGGTGAAGTCAATGCTACCTAGCGCCAGGCCACAAGAGTCCCCCAGTGTGTCCCACAAAGGCAGCCTCTAACACTCCATCAGTCTCCTGCTTCCGTGTGGCCCCATCCACCCAGGGCCTCCACTGCACAGGAAGAACCTACGGGGTCTATGGACAAAGCAGCGGGCAGAGACACTGTTGACAATGACTGGACCTAGGAGCTGCCTAGGAGAAGCTGCCTTGAGGAGGAAATGTGCCGTGAGCGCGCCAGCCACTCCAAGGGTGACCACACCGACCTGCCTGCCTGCTACAGACCTGTGCGTCTCACACTTGTCCCCTCCCTCTGCCACCCTCCAGCTGAGCCATCCAAATCAGATAGCACGAGCACTTATCACACCTTTCTGTCTACTGTGCCTTCTGCTCGGGACTGCCAGCTTACTTTCTTTGTTCGCTTGTTTTGGTTTTTCAGACAGGGTTTCTCTGTGTAGCTCTGGCTGTCTTGGAACTCGCTTTGTAGACCGGGCTGGCTTTGAACTCATAGATATCTGCCTCTCGAGTGCTGGGATTAAAGGCGTGCGTCACCGAGTCCAGCTCCGTGAAGGTCTGTCACACTTATCCTTCTCATTCTGTCTCAGTGGCCCTTCTATGGACATCTTCCTGCTAGAAGGACGGCTCATTAGCACAGAGCCTGTCTCTTTTGGTCACTGCCCAACTCAGAGCTGCCTCAGTACAGGGCTGTGGGCCTAAGAGCAGACTGCCTAGACCCAGGTGCTAGCTTGGCCATTCCAGCTGTGTGTCCCTGGGCAAGTCATCTAACCTCTCTGGACCTCAGTGTTCTAGCTGCAAACCATGGGTTGTGACAGGCCCTACCTGTGGGGAACACTCAGACGGCACAAGGCATGTAGAGTCGGGACGGCCATGGTCCCCGCAGACTGCTGCCGTTCCTATCCCCACTACTGCTACGGTGTGAAATGACTGGACACATGCCGAGGACACTGGTCACAGTCGCCCTCCCAGCATACATGCGGGCTGTCACTTTCCCCGGGGTGGGGGACAGGATGGGCTGCCACTGTCTGATCCACTACACTGAGACCTCAGAAGGCCAGGGTTAGGACCACTGTAGCCACACTGTATCCCCAGCTGTGTGCACCAAAGGGCAGGGACAGTGACCTGCAGAGAGGGGCTGACTGAGAGACTGCCTGGCCAGCTACTGCCTCCAATGCTCGTCCCCACAGTACCCAAGATGGAATGGCTGCCACAGAAAACCTGAG